ACTATAAAGCAAAAATTGATGTCAGAATTTCTGCACGCCTTTTACAACCTTGAGACTAAGATTTTATTTGGGAGTTACCATTTTCAATTTAGTAATTTCTAAAAAATCCTCGGGCAGATTTATTTTTGTTACAAAATGTTACCTTTACAGATTTCTAGCTCTGCACACCTGTAGAAAAATCTAGAAATACAGTTTTGTATATTGTAATAATATTAGTAGTTGCCAGAAAGCTCATAAAGTAGAGAAAAATCGGTAAATTTGAAAACGATAAACATACATTTAATTTCTCAAAAAATAAATTAAAAAATATCAAAAGTCGCTACTTTTGGCTGATTTGTCTGAGGTCTTTGCTATCTCACTACGTCCCTCTAAAAGTCACCACAGTTGGGAACACTGGTAAGCAGACACCTAGAGTCTAAGTAAGGCGAAATGTAATCGCCAAACCGCGCTGCATAAAGGCAGAAAAATTTTAAAATATAATTTCTTGTGAATAGCAGTTTGGGTCCCCCTTCCAAATGGGCCCTGTGCAGATGCACCTGTTGCACCTGCCTAGTTACGGCTCTGGTCGCATTGACCATANTAGCTCTGCACACCGTAGAAAAATCTAGAAATACAGTTTTGTATATTGTAATAATATTAGTAGTTGCCAGAAAGCTCATAAAGTAGAGAAAAATCGGTAAATTTGAAAACGATAAACATACATTTAATTTCTCAAAAAATAAATTAAAAAATATCAAAAGTCGCTACTTTTGGCTGATTTGTCTGAGGTCTTTGCTATCTCACTACGTCCCTCTAAAAGTCACCACAGTTGGGAACACTGGTAAGCAGACACCTAGAGTCTAAGTAAGGCGAAATGTAATCGCCAAACCGCGCTGCATAAAGGCAGAAAAATTTTAAAATATAATTTCTTGTGAATAGCAGTTTGGGTCCCCCTTCCAAATGGGCCCTGTGCAGATGCACCTGTTGCACCTGCCTAGTTACGGCTCTGGTCGCATTGACCATACCACCACCAGTGACTTGCACCCTTTCTTTTTTATGAGAGTCAAGTATGCCAATCTATCTTTCATAGTTGTATTGAATATTGTGTTTTTAGCTTTTGTAATTGTAACTAGAGTGACTTTGAACATTGATGATAAAAGTATTGTAATCAATTAATGCTCTGTAATATTTTACAGTTTTTATGCCTTTTTATTATTATATTTCAAACTGCATAACAATTTACAATTTATGTATGATAGTTTTTAAATATAAATTCTAGAATGTCACCATCTGATAAGCATTCTCCTTCCAGTTTAATAATTATGTAATGTATAAATAGCAGATAATTTATGAAATTTAATCTCTTTTATATTATATAATAATTATTATTTTCATTATATCATTTAGGCATATTCCAGATTTATATAAAGAGAATATTTTTTTCTATACACAGCAGAAACTAATTATTGTAATCACCTTGGAACCTGCATATATTCATATATGAATAATAGTCAATAAAACCAGAAACATTTGTTATGACATTACAAGGCTGCCTGCCATAAGTTGACATAACTTTGGCCCAAAACTCTGTCATTGTTTAATATTTTGAGCATATTTTGACACTATTTGATTAATATTGTGGCAATATTTGTTTCATATTGAGCATGAAGTAGGGGATACATTTAAGTAAGTTGGTTAAGTTTTTCATGTTTTTAGTCTAAAAAATTATTGAAAATATGAGACAAAGTTACAATGCTGTGAGGTAACTTTGTCCCTGATAATATATCTAATTGATTTGAGTGTAATATATCCTTGAGCTGATGTTAGTTTTATACAAATTAACATGTATATACTGTATGTTATTAATACATCAGATTGTCAATCTCAGAAACAGAAAATTGATTCCATTTTGAAATCACTTTTGGAGAATTTATTTTACCAAATATCTTCTCATTTGTATGGAATATAATCCTCCTTTACAGACTGTCTCCAACACTTTGAGCCTTTTTTCATATAATTAATAACTGGTCCATCTTTGGAGATGCAAAATACAAACTGTAGCTATGGGTTGTTCAACTTACACATTGAAAATAAATACTCTTGTAAACAACAAGCTTTCATAAGTAAAGGTAGAAAATTAACATTATTGGAAAATAACTAAATATAATATGTTTACACAGCAAAAATGCCTTTGAAGAACATTATTTGCATTGTTATGATAAAGGAACTAAGAAACTAAGTTGGGCTAATGTTACTCCAGATCTTGGGCCAAAGTTACCACAAGGTTTAAAGTAGTCAATAGAAAATATGTAATAAATTTAATTTTAAACATTAATTACTTAGTAAACAAGTCTAAAAAAATGTACTTATCAAAACATAAAGACTCAGAAGTTGTAGAAAGTATATATTCACTAATGAAAACATCAGAGGTACTGTATGCCTTGGCAAAAGCTTGAACTACACAATCATTCGGCACATCTAACTAGTACTGTCATCTACTTTTTTCATGTCAAAATTCACTGAATTATGTAACATTGGAAATAAATGTTTTCTATTTTTGGGTCAAAGTTACCCCAACTTAAAATTATATCAAAATGATTAAAAACGATTTAACTTGATTGTATAGCAGTTGTAATTATTAATTACAGTAATCATAAATCATCCAGTATATAATTGAAGCAAGAAATGCCAGCAATTTAAGTCATTGTATTGCATGTAAGTAACAATTAATACAATTACTTCTTGATGTTTAAAACACTGGTTACAACTGAAAAAATAACAAGCTTAGATGTGCCATTTACCTGATGATGATAACTATAACTGAAACTGACTACAATAAGTGACTTCTAATATACTATTGGACAGAAACTTTATTTTTAATTTCAACTATTTTTCAGAAAAAATACATAAATAACACTACATATAATGTCACTACAATTTAGCTGATATTATTGTATTGATATATTTTGTAAGAACAATAAATAATTCATCAATTAAACAGCTTGAGATGTTGGGAAGCATTTATTTTCTATACACAAATGTTTTCAGCCTAATGTATAGAATCAAATAAATGCTTCTCAGCAGCCAAGGTGTTTATTGAATTATTCTTTCTGCTGAATATTGGTTTAGTTGACTAATAAATAATTATCTTAAAAAACTTTATAGAAAGCTCAAGCATTTTCAGGCTTTATGCTTCAGAAGGCAATAAGAAAAAATTATTTTGCTAACTCCTCATGAAGATAAGTGTGTGAAAGTGCTTGAGTTTTCTAAAAGCTTATCTTTCAAAATAAAAATAATTTGAATTAGAATTATGTTTGATGGGCTTCTTCCACAAAGACATCAGTGGATAATAGAAATAACTTTGTTTTTTCCAATTAAATATCAATAACATTCAGTTCAGTAACTTCATTTTTTTACTATAAAAAATTTAAAATAAGCCATAAAATTAGACATGCAAAAACATTTTTTTAATATTTTAGAATGTACAGAATATACATTAAATATAATAGATATTAAAAAATCATTAATTTTAGAGTTATAGAATCAACTAATTGATTTTAAAATTTAATTAATCATATCCAAATGGTCAGGGGTCCTGTTTCAGATTAAAAAAGATGAATTAGATTAGCATGGTTAAAATTTTGCATTTACTTGTGCTATGCACTCAAATTTTCAAAATTCCATCTGCAGTCAGAACTTCAAAATTCTCTTATTCCACGACAAAAACATATGATGGATTTCAATAGCTGTCAACCATCAATGTAGCAGCAGAATTTATTATATTTCTGTATGCATGATTCCATATAAGATACAAATATTTGCAATGGAAATCAAATTTTATATTTTTAATTCATAATAGTATAAATTTTGTTTGGAAACATTATTCATTAGTCCAGCATTTGCTGTGTTGTGGTTCAATCATACCAAATTACGTAGAGAAGAAACAAATCTTTGAATAGAGAGAAAAGAGTAAGAAACAATTAAATTTTTTCTCTTACTCCTTATAGTTCTAAAAAAGGAATGGAAAAAAAGTGGACATGCATTTAATGTAGTTAAACTCCATAATTTTATGTGAGTGATTAAAAAAAAAACAGTGATTTATATTTTAAATAATCAAATGATTCATTTTTTAATATTTTTTTAATCAAAAATATTTTATTTTATATCAATTAAACTTTTAAGCAATTAAAATTTTCATGCCCTAATAAAGAATCCATTTTCAAATTCAATCAGAATTGACATTATTATTCATTTGAGATCATTTGAAATTAAATTTGAACAACAAATATGTAATATGGCAGAAATGTCTGTATTTTCTTGACTGTTATTTTAATTTTTATATATATTTAAATATATAATAACCTAATAAGGGTAGATGAATAAATAACCAGCTGGGACAAGCAGCTATGATATTGCTTTTGGCTGGTTATTTATTGATCCACTCTTTATGTAAATATATTATATATAATATATATTTCTATATAATCAAATATACTTACCTAAATATAAACTACATATTCTGTTTATAAGTGTAGCAGTATTTATAAATTAGTATACATAAAAATTATTTATGAATATGCCTTACAATCTGGTAAAGCCAAAAGAATTTTTGGTAAACATTTAAATCATTTTATTGACTATTTTAATTATGAGCAAAGTTTGAAATTGATTGATTAAATTTTTTGCGTCACAGATGTAGCTAAAACGTAATATTTCTCTGTTACGTATACTGTACATCCTACAATTTTGTATTTGCTGTCTTCCTAACGTTGATGAGGTTTTCCTGTATCATCCATCATGCCAAATAATTATTAAAATACGACGAAATACGCAGGATTCTTATCGAATTGCGTCGCGTTCCGTGAATTTTTACGTCGCCATTCATATTCACGCTTGTAAAATTTTAACCAATCACGTAACATTTTTAAATATTTAAAAATCCGTGACGTATGTGCGAAATCGCAATAGAATCTCGTTTATAGCGCGAGCTTATTTTTGAAAAAATGAACACAAAATGGCGCGTACGATCGAAACATTTGTCTAAGCGTTTCGTCCTTGAACATGGTTCTCGACTTACGCCACTGACCTTGCTTTAGTATTACTGTTTATTTATAAAATTAAAAGGAATTTTGACATTAATAATAATAAAAATCGAGGAGGATATGTGATCGTTTGCACGTCCTACGTCAATGACGCTAGGCTATTTGACCAATGAGTGAGTCGTCGTCTCCGGGGTGGAGACTAATGACGTCTCCTCCATCTTTGCAGCTGATTTTTCGATCAGGTTTTTATAAGTGTGCCTCATCTGAAAAAATGTTTACTGTTTTTTAACTATCGACGATAAACATGAGTATGATCGAACGTACACGCGGCATGTCCATCGATGCCGATTTGGCCGATTTAATAACAGATGGGTAAGAATTAATATTTTTGTGAATTTTTTGAAAAATTACGCCTCTTTTTCAAGGACGGAATGCCCGCATTTTTGTGTATTTTTTTAAACTTAAATTTCTATTATAATAATTTATCAACTATTTAATTTTGTTTTTCGTTAAAAACAAAAATTTTAACGAAATTTACTTAATGTTCAATCACGTGTTCTACAGTTTTGAATTTAAATTTTTTGCCCGGCAACGTGTTTGTTTTTAAAGCCTGCCCTCTAGACTTGACGTCACAAAATTTCGTATAATAATAATAATTATTACAGTATACGAAATTTTGTATAATAATAATTATTATTAATAATTATGCATTAATTATTATTTATTATTAATTAATAAATAATAACCTGATTTTTTAATTTTATTATTATTAAATTTTTAATATTCTTTAAAAGATTAATTAAAAGGATGGAGATTAAAGGATATTGCGTCATTACCCGATTACGTAATTTAACACAAAATTTATTTCAAAATAAATTTTACGGGGAAAAAACTTACTCTAATAAACGTAATTAATTCGGTGAAGATCGTAATAATTAATTTAGTGAATGGGACACGAATTATTTCGAAAAAGAAATTAGTTTAATGGAAAAACATAATGCTCCGTGTGGCTACGTAGACGATGACGTCACGCGCCGCCATCCCTGTGAGAATAATTCGATTATCATCTCAAATCATCGATCGTTTAACCGTGTTAACTTAATAGCGATTACAATTAATACGCGCGCGAGCGAAGCGAATTATGTAAATGACCGGATGCTGCGCGTCACGTGACCGGCGTCGCCATGGCGATAAGATGGATGCGGGAAGCGATGCGATGCTTTATTATTGTTCACTAAATAAATATTGTAATGTTCCTTCAGGTCTGTGCGTACGGATGGCAGCAAGTAAGTGGAAATTTTGGAAGAAATTTTGGAGTTTCATGGAGAAAAATCTTTAATTAAATTAATTCATGTTCTGATTATGATCAATCACCTTTCAGGTATTCTTATGAAGAAATTGAATCAATAACTAATTTCCTATTGGGCAAGACCGAACAGAGACCGGATGTTGGCATTATATGCGGGAGTGGTATGGGCGGCCTGGCTGACATACTAGAAAACAAGGAGTCTTTCATGTATAAGGACATACCAAACTTCCCTGTCAGTACCGGTGAGTACGCCTTCTAGTATCTGTAATTAAATATACTTGATGAGAGCTTACATTGATGATCTTTAGTGGCCGGACACAAGGGGAGGTTGGTCTTCGGAACCCTGTGCGGAGTGCCTATGGTCTGTATGCAGGGTAGATTTCATGTCTACGAAGGTTATTCCTTGTGGAAGGTGCGTATTTATTGTGGTAAATTAAGCCAGAAGCAAACATATTTACTCGATTTTAATTAAAAGACTGTGTCAATAGTGCTGAAGGCATTTATTGATACAGTAATACCTTGGTTTTTGTTGACTTTTGTCATCGTCGATTTTTTTCGTGAAAAATTTGTCTTGGTTTTTGTCGGTTGCCTTGGATTTTGTTGGCATGCCCGTGTGACCTCACTGCTAATTTTGGGAAAACAAAGGGTGACCCGCGCATTTTCCTGCTCAGTGTGGCATTGTTTCTCGTGTGAGAATTACCTTTCCCCATGTCTAGCCAAACAACTCCTCTATGACAGCCGGATGGGCCGAGTCGTCAAGGTGGCAGCCTACTGCTCTGAGGATCCGGGATCTAATGCAGATGGGTCAAAAAATTCCCACGAAGTTTTTGGGGGTGATTCGACCTGATATGTCAGGCCCCATCACTCACTACCCAGCCACTCCATTGTGGGCTTGGCAGAAACCATAACAGGCTTGCTAAAAGAGGCCCTCTTAGTGCCCACAGGGCAGGAAGACTTTAAAAAGAGCCAAACAATTCCATTGTTTCCTTTCCTTTTAGCTTCATCATGGGACCAATTAAAGTTTCCACAGCCAGCAGCCCTTCAAATGCCATGTTAAACGTTCATTTATTCTTTATATTAGTCTTTTATATTAATTTCTTATTGTTTTCAGTCTAAACACCATATTTATTCTCTATAAAATGTGTTTTTGGTATGTATTCATTCATTCATTCATTTTTATTTACTATGTACTATCAAGTATTCCTGGCCCCGCATGGAGTATTACCATTTTTGGTATGTATTTTGGAGTGTCTAGAATGAATTAATTGGATTTACATTGACTCATATGGAAATCATTGCCTCGGTTTTCGTCAGTTTCAGGTTTCGCCAATTGTTTTTTGGACCGATTTATCAATGAAAACCGAGGTATCACTGTAATTCTCGAAAATACCACGAGAACTGCTTGACTCTGAAAGCTAAAAACTGTAATAAAAGCAACACAGTCCATCAAAATCTTTGGCATACAAGCACATATTCAACAGAGCTGAATGAAGTTACTCCACAAATGCTTTAATTAATGGCCTAATTATACCATTACATTAATGAGGGAAGCAATGCTGAAGTACTACTAACTATTGTAATAGTATAATTACTTCATTAAAGCATATGTCTCAGTTATAAGATAAAAACAAATAAAATTCCTCATTTAGAACACAAGATATTAGTAATGTACTGTTGAATGTGTATTTTTTGCAGGTTCGACCAAAATCTGATTTTGTATTCAGTTAGCCTGGAAATTTTGGAATTTGAGTTTTATGTTTATGCAAAATTTTAATTGATTAAATTATGGAATTTGGCTTAAAAGTGTGCTGTTATGCCGACACGTTGCATCGAGATCAAATTAAGTATCATTTCTAAATTTGGAAATTAATTTTACTCTAAAACAAGAACATTTATTCAAGTTTCTGGCTTCTTGAGCAACACATTCTTTATAATGTTCAGTTTATAATGTTTACACATTCTTTATAATGTTCAGTTGAGCATTTCTTAAAGCAAATTTACCAAAAGTAAAAATTTAACTTAATATTTGCTTTTATATTCACTAAGTTTTAAGAGTTAATCTTTGGAATAATTAATATTCAGAAACACCTTACCCTGTGACGGTCTCTTGGATACACCCAAACTTATTTGCAGAGTTTGTTTGAAAAGAAAATTGGTTCTATGAGCTTACCGGTAGACTGAATGGGAAGATTGATTAATTCTCTCGGGATTTCTGCATGTGAAAGTTAATTTTCAAAGGTACTTTGGAAAAGTAGATCTGTGATATTCTTTCAATACGGTATCATTGCAATTTAACTGCTATTTTATAAGTTTTATCATTATTTACATTTAAAACATATATGTGAACAAATTATCTTTACCTCAAAACTTGTGAAAGGATGAAAGCTTAAAAAATTAGTAGTTTTTTTTTTTTGTTTCAATGTTTTGTTATTTTAGAAAATAATAGACTAATAATAACCAAGTTGAATTATAAAAATATAATAGTGTGCAATGCCAGTCCGAGTTATGAAATTAATTGGAGTCAAGACATTGATTGTCACAAATGCCGCCGGTGGTTTAAATCCCAACTTCAAAGTAGGTGATATAATGTTGATTAAGGACCATATCAACTTCCCGGGTTTTGCTGGTGATAACCCATTAAGAGGAAGGAATGATGAGAGGTATTTGATCAAGTGATTATACAATTGCCTTTCTAATAATCTTCTTACGCCTTTTTTTTTCTTTTGGTAGATGGGGACCACGTTTTCCTCCGATGAGTAACTCCTATGATCTTAAACTGCGTAATCTAGCCAAGGAAATTGGCAAAGAATTGAATCTCGACCAGTACATCAAAGATGGAGTGTACGCCATGGTCGGAGGACCGTCGTACGAAACAGTTTCTGAAATAAGGGCTCTACGTACTCTTGGAGCTGACGCAGTGGGTAAGTAAAAGGCATCTTACACTTAACAAGGTTGACGTAGCATAAATGTAGACATATTATAGGTATGAGCACTGCACACGAAGTGATTGCGGCCCGTCACTGCGGCCTCAGAGTGTTCGGCATGTCGCTGATAACAAACATGTGCATCAACGAATATGACTCCACTCAGACGGCAAATCACGAAGAGGTGCTGGATACAAGTGCCAAACGCAAAAGTGATATGGAGAAACTTGTCAGCAGACTTGTAGCAAGAATTAACACTGTATAACTACAAAGTACCTGCCAAAAGCATAATTTATAAAATTATGCTTTTTAATTTAAAAAGCAGATTTAAGCTATAAAACTGCTTGATGTATCATTCCTTGTGTAAGAGATTTTAATGAAACTGAAGCACAAGCTTAATTATTCCATTTATTGTACTAAATGAATTGTCAAATGAAAAACTATATTGTAATAATGTTAATAAAAGAAAATGTGTACATGCAATATTTAACTGTCAAAAAACCATATTTTAGATGAATTGCATCAAGTACAAAGTTAATATCAAACTTTTATTACATAATATTTCACAAAAAAAGTTTTTTTACACAACAGCACTTCACAATTAAAAAAAAAGCTCCATCTGTACAATAACACTTGCAGAAAAATAAATATTAAGTAGTATACATTTTCGGGTTACTAATTATGTAATAACATTAAAATATACAAATACTATACGAGTCTTGTGCTATAGTTAAAAAGGTTAAACATACAAACATTTATAACTAATATTTGTACAACTGGACATAACCTCATCGAGGTGATTTTTGTAAAGTCTATGCAGGCAGGATATATATAAAGTTTGGACGGTGATAAAATGGCTCTAATGAGCCAATATGGCTCTCTTATACACAAATTTTGGAAGAGATATGTAGTTACCGATGGTGACATGCTCGTGGGGACTAGCCCCTTCTCTACTCCAAGCACGAATATTCTCCATGCCCAAATGGAGTTTATTACTCTTCGTTTGCCTCCGCTTGTTACTTTAACAGACCAAATTCTGGTGTTGTCAAAGAACAATAAAGTAAAAACACCTTTTATCCTCATTCAACAACAGCAAATCAATCTATTAGTTGTTTAAACTTTTCAAATGTAACGACATGAATTTGTAGTTTTGTCTTTTCTTTATATAGTATTTTTTGTATGGCACACTGAATAAATCTGATACAAAAACATCCTATCGCATGGTGCGGAATTTTAGTCTTACTCGCTTTAAAAACATATATACAAGATAATAACTGTTGTAAGCTCAAACTCTTCAAACAAATTTAAAAATTTGCAGCATCCTATATGTTCTGTAACAAAATGAAAAAATAGCAATATTTTTCTTTAAAAACACTATTTACAATTTTATTATACAAAATCATTTTTCTTCCTGTTAAAAATTAGTTTAAAACTGATATGAATAAATTATTTTTTTATTTGTAATGCATAGTTGGTGCCTCAACTCTAAAGATTACAGTTATGAATCCACATAGTGGTGGTAGTGGTGGTGAACGTGCTCGTGGAGGTGGTGGTGTTCGTGACGTTCCACAACCAGTTGTGAAGAACGCCGTGGATGCCCCAGACAGGCATAGCGCCGCATCTGTTCTTTGTGATTACCCGACCCCAGATGCTCTCTCTCAATCCAGTTTGCCACCCTCTGCATTGCCCTCTGATGTTCGCGTTCCCTTTCACGATGACGTTGGTGGTGGTGATTCGGCGACTGCGCGTGATTGGACACTGGAGACACTCCCGTCGGATTGAGAGAAGCACTACGTCCTGGCCTCTGTTTCACTTTTGGTGAATTGGGTACATTGGGATGATGAGGAGTCTCGTAAATGTCATAAGATTTGGAACGTCTGTGATGATGCCGTTCCCAACTGCACATGTCAAAGCTCAGATTGAGCAAGTCGTTTTTGGGTTCCGAAAATCTGTTGGCATAGACTGCATCGTCATTCATGAGTCTTGTTCTAGTCTGTTCCATCGCATCTTTGCTCCGATGTAGTTTTGAACACAAATGGTTCCTATCTAGCAATCTGTAAGGACAAATGAACGAACCATCGTTGCAGTTTGTGCCATATGTATTGGGTGGCTTGTTACAGTTATCCATTCCTGCTAGATCTAAATAATTGTTCCTCCTGTCCCTGCATCCTGTACCGCGCTCACGGTGTTGGTGTTTGTGTCGGTGTCTGTGCCGGTGTTCTTCAACGATGGCCTCATATCCCTCATGATGATGCCTGAAGACAAACGATTACAGCTATGTTTAATCCAATTTAAAATACATATATAATAAATTAAATTATCGTTTAAATCAAATGCTAATTAAGGTGTTCTGTTGTTGTTCTCATTTAACCAAATTAAATACCAAATGGGATCTCTATTCATATGGTTTCAAGTATTAATTACGATTTATGTTTACAGAAATAATTATAATAAATATTACAGAATATATAGCACTAATTAGAAAACATAATTAAATTTTACTTGTCAAACTCTCGCTCTGTCATTTCGTGCAGTAGTAATAAATACCAGTAATAGCCAAGAAAGTTTTCATTATTATAAATTACAGTTTTTAATTTGTAACTGGGGCAAATGTTTATTATACATTTAGTTCCACTGAGAAGAGTCCAATAAAAAATTAATGATTGCAATTAGAAGAAAAATGAGTAAAATATATTTAGATAATTCCTAGTGCTTTTAAATTACAATATTTATTGTTAAAGTTTATTGTCAGACACATTTGAGCTAGGTGCAATTATAATGTATTATATGTAGAAGTTCTTATTGTAGTTTTCTAGAGAACAAAAGTCAGTATTTTCTGTCAGATCGAACATGAGATCAGCAATATCAATCAAAATAAAAAATAAAATCAGCATCTTCCCTTTAGAATTACAAATGTCTAAATAATTGACGAGAACAGAAATATACAACAAAATTTATTTACAACAAAACAAAAAAAAAATTTAGAATGTAAGGTGATATATAACATGCCCACAAACACTTATAATTTTGTGAAGTATATGTATCAAGACCAATACAGTTCCAACACTAATGCATGTATGCACAAACAAAATTGAGGAAATTAACACATTACACAAACACATTATTGAATATGTTTGTCATCTTTGTCACAAGTGCATGCCCACCCTATCCATTTATAAAACAAAGTTTACAGTAAAGGTAACGTTAAACTCACAAAATTTTCTAGAAAAAACAGTTAAAATGAGTATTTTAACTATTAATATATTTATACTTTTAATATATTTCTCGGCAAAGATAAGGTGTTATAAAATACTCATTAACATAAAATATATAAATGAGTCTAGAACATAGATTTTGGCTAAGATATCTTACCTATTTATTGCTTTGTTCTAGAAATTTTTTACTTATTAGCCTTTTCTTAACTAGTCTGTCTGCTATAACTTGTGCATGCTTCTACATGAAATGGTGAAGTATCTTTCATAAAATTGTCTCCCAAACTAAATTTATAATATTTAATGATGATCACATTTTTATTAGAACACTTATGTTGCTTCTACAATGAGATGGGTAACATGGAGGGATATATTTTTTAGCGTATGGCGCTGAGGTGACTACTTTATTTTTCTTTTCATGCGTAAAGTTAGGGCGAATGAACTATATTAATTTTCACTCGATAGTAAATCTATTCTATATTCATGTGTGTTTTCTAAATTTTGTTTCATTCATTTTTAAATGTGTAAAATATTTACACAAATATCCACAAAATATAAATTTGTGTGTGTAATGTAATAATGTGTTAATAATAATTTAAATTAATTACATTTCAAGAATTTATCATTATTCTGTTTGTATGTTGTAAAGAAATCTTTCACAAAATTTTGAATATGGTATTCCAACCTTACATGCAAGGTAATGAAAGAATAGATCCATTGTGGCCAAACTGCAGATTGCAAGCCGCATGCAACTCTTCTAGACCCTTATTGCAGTACCTGTATAGTTATACACTATTACATGTAGGTAAGTAACACATCTCAAGTTTATAAAAAGAAAGTGTATAACTATACAGGAGCCACAACAAGGGTCTAGAACGACCACAGTTTGACTACAGTGGGATAGATCCATCATTTAAAATTTATGAAGGCTTTTTGCATTAGCTGCTTAGTAATATTTTGATGCAAGAATGAAATATTCATCTGATGCAAGGAGAATGAAATAACAAAGTTAAATTCAGATTCATTTCAAAATAAAAGAACACCTGTACATAAATTGAGCTATACAATGTATTTGTAATGGAATGGTTATATTGCATTACATTCCATAGGAGGAGGATTGCATACTTCAATAAATTTTTTCAAAATGACTAATCACTTTATAACTTATGTGACATTTGCCTCTTTCTTTATTTTCTAATCATTACATGCTTATTGATGATTTATATGTGCAGTTACATTTATGTATATCAGAAATCAAAGTGAAATTACTACAGAAATTAACACAATTCTTACCTCTTGTTTTCGTTGTCTGCACAAATTTTCTCCCCGGCATCTTGCGTCCACTCTGAATTTTCAACCTTCTGATTGCCTGCCCTGTGAGCCTTGCGCAGCCTTATGGAGGGTGAGGCCATGCTTTTGACGATCGGAGAAGGTATCCTTCCCAATTGGGGACTGTGGTACCGCACGTCTGTCTCGGGTATCTTGTCGTCATTTGAGGTGCACAGATAGGTGGAGTTCGTGTTGGTGCTGTAGTCGCTATGGAGTGCGTTGTCGAGTTCCACTCTGTTCTCGCACTCACTGGTCTCCTCCTCTTTTGTGCAGCTGTCTGTGCTGCTGTCCGGTGTGACCGCCAAACGAACTTTAATGGTCCTGCTCCCAGATGGGGGCAGCTTTAATGTTTTTCCTAATGCATCACATATGGATCTCATGACAACCTTCTCTACATCCTAAAACAATTTAAAAATAATCAATTATTTTGGAATCAAAAGAATAACAATAATAAAAAAAAGGATACTTCATGCATTTGTGTGGTTTAACTGAACTGGCAACAACAGTTTTAGGCAATACTTTCTCCAATACATCGCAATGATAAATAATAGTACATAACTATTCTGAATCAATAAAAAATGGCAACTTTTCTGGTTTTCTCTTCAGCTTGTATTAAAAATATACGAAGAAAGAGTTTTCCCAAATGAATGTAGTAAAAAATTATAAATTAAATTATACACTGCCGATTTTCTTTCATCCCTGCACAAATCCCACTACAACATAAATTCAATTCCATGAATAATTTGCATTACATGTTACAGAATAGCCACAAACTCCCTATATATTTTTTCGTTAGATATTATCTGCCCCTCTATTCTCTCACAAAATTTTAATTTTCTTCACATTCTTTGGCATCATTCTCCATACTGATGGTTGGAAGTCATTAAAGTAATCCCCAATAGATGCCTTTTAAGTATTCAATTGTTGCAAGGAAGAATTTTAAATTTACTTTCGCAGTGCTCCAAAGTGAATCATCATGTATTATCGTATCTGGACTTAGGAGGCACACGTTATTGTATGTGTGTCCAATCCATTGTTTGCCAATTGCCAAAATATTCTCTTAACTGAAAGACTTGGAACACATCACAAATAGGAATTACGAAGCCAATTCCATACAATTTTTGGACTATTAAATATATTAGGACCTTATTTTAGAAGGAACAGACAGTGGGAGCAAATTTATTCTATATATATGCCATAACTCCTTACAAATGCAAATTATATGAATTTTAATCAACACACAAATATTTAATATTCTTCATCTTAATATCAAAAAATTTATCTTCCATTTCCAAAACACATCTAACCACAAATGGGTATCTGCAGTATGCAATCAATTCAAGATTTATGGATGATATTGCATAAAAAATTACATGAAGAAATAACATTCCTATCTTGGATTTGACATAATTGTAAAATTGACCTTTGTAAGCATTGATTCTGAGACTCATTAGTAATGATGGGTGAATTGATAACACCTTACAACATGTTTCAAGCATTGATTGATATTAAAGTTTATTGTTATCACACTGCAAATTCAAGAATTGATTTTGCAGTATGATAATTACTGTAAATCATTAATTTTGCAATAATTATCATAATTAGCAGTAAGAATAATTTACTTCAAAAATTCTTTTTGTAAAATAAAAGTCATCTTCAACTTCATTGAAGACAAATGTCTGGGAATACCATCAAAGCATTTTTAAGACTTAAGTGTTGTGTATTTATAATTTGCACTGCTCAGTTTAAAACTAAATAGAAATTAAATCTTTAAGGACTACTGAAATTATGTGATGTCAGTTATTGTCTCAGGGATTAAGGATTAGATATTCACTAATTTACATTGGAAATACACTAAGCTAAACAGAATAAACTGTTGTTTGTGTATGTATCATCTCCAGATATAAAACCAAAGTAAAATAATATTTTAGATTACATCTAATATCTTTCTTATCTTTGAATACTTCATTTCTAATAAGGACAGTTGTTATAATAGGTGGAAGAACAGAAGTTTCTACCAGTTTACTCAAATCGTACAGCATCTTTTGACATAACCAACAATAGGTGAACAAAGCTTGGCCACCCATCTAAGAGCAACAAATAGATGGGTAGACAGAGCAATCTATCCCACCCCACCATCTAATTCCCTAATTTTATTGCCAAAATCACCCCGACAGATCAGCACGCAGCATGCCGGTACCACCAGAATAGTTTCTGCTACCTCTAAGCTGTTTGTTGCCCAACACCCAAAAACAAAGAAGCTACACCGCATTGGAGACAACACCAAACAATAATTTCACATATTACAAGGTAGAATTGGCATATGTCAAATAGAACTGCAAAGTTCAATTATTTACCAGCAAAGTTACTCCAAAAGAACTGAACAGCCTTTGAAAAGGCAATTTTTCATAATTAAAATGTATTCTGCAGCATCCTAGCAAGTTGGAAGAGGGGAAGGGGAAAAAAAGAATCCTGTAATTAAACGTGAGGAATTAAACGATCACGACGTTGTTACGAGAGGTCAAATTCACCACTCTTTCCAAAATTTATTACCAAGAGTTTCCTTAACATCTATTAACTAGAAATTGCCCTGGACAGGCATTGTGTAAATTACTCTGTCACGTGTTTATACGCATCTATCCCTCTAATGACAACCGCATTTTTTAAAAATCATCTTTTATCACTTTTTAATTAATTAATAACAGAACATTTTACCTCTTTGCTAAATTTGCTGTGTCCGTCGAAGTCGTAGAGTGTGAAAGAAAATTCCTGCTTCTCCCTATCATCCACGGTCACGCTGCAAGTCGCTTCCTGCAGGTCAAAGGTCGAAACGTTAACTCAATCCCGCGATTTAAAAACGAATAATAATAAAAAAACTTAATTAATTACGCACCGTGCTATCTTCCTTCTCGTTCTTTTCCTCTTCCGCCTTCTCCGGCGTTTCCTCCTTTTCTTCTAATTTCTTCATATTCGAAGTTTCATCTTCGGGAGGGAGCACTACTACAAACAATGCTTTCGTGAATTTCAGTACAGTATTTCAAACTATTTTATTTAAAAAATTAATTATTGACATTTAAAAACTGAGGGGGCAAAGCGCGTACAAGTGGATGCAATTTTCAAGGTCAACAACACGGGGGAGAGGGAAGAGCGAACTTTCATTCTTCAGCTGCCGCTCGATCTGAAGAGTTCGGTCATCCGGCAATACAAACCTCGATTTTTCGTGAAACGAAAGGGAAATTTAAACACTCACCAAGTGCGTTCGGAGAAAGCGTGGCGCACACGATCCTCACTCACGTGGGGGTTGGAGAAAACCGATTCGGATCCTAGAGGACTAGCGAGAAAAAAAATGGGGGGAGCGGAACGGAGACGCGTTAGAAATCCCCCACTCGCCCTTACCTGACACTCGAAAAGGACCCGGCCTATCTTGCCATCCCGACTTTTCCAAAAGAATCGCTGACAATAGCTCCCTTGTGGTACGCCGCCGGGTCCTCTCTTTGGCTCTCTACCCCCGCGCCCCCCACGCGGAGGGGACTTTTGATTAGTCCCAGCATGCCGACCCCATCCGCGTTCGGGGGGACGGACGCATCCACAATGTCGAGAAGACTAGGTCGGGCGAGATCAAAGACGAGAGGCAGGTGAGTCCAGACGGTCCGGCAATGAATAGAGCCACTTAACCATCGGGTTTATCCCAGCCCCCGGCTACGCTTGTGAGGAACTCGTAGAGGGGGAAGAAGACGGATGTATGTCAGACCCTGCAGGGTTCGGCCGGTCAAAGACGCCGACAACCCTTCTGCCTGTTCCGAAAGCCGAAGCACGATTCTTGTTTCGGCCCCTTTCTGCGTGTTGGGGGGCAGTTAATTGGTCCTCGTCCCCCCGGACTGGAAAAGCCGGGCGAGATGGCCCTTCATTCCTCCCCCTCTGTACCTTTTTTATTATATGTATATTCTCTTCTTTCAACTGGCCACCGCTAGGAGGATAAAGATCGCTTAAAGTAAACGCCTTACGACACTGGACCAGCGCCATATTGTCCACGGCGACGTAATAAAATGACGTCGCTAATTGAATTTTTGGAATTCTTGCCCCACCCGTTCGTCTCCAATTTAAATTTTTAACTCGAAGCGAATCGGAGGCGAATAAATTCTAGGAAAACTCTACGCCAGCTTAATGTATAATTATATTGCCGTAATTAAAAGATGGCGACGGGATGAAGGTAACAGAAACCAACGCCAGCATAAACTGAATTAAAAAAAAAAAATTCTTTGAACCTTGCAAAGCCTGCTATTAATCGAAGACTCGCTGCCTGGAGCTAAAGGCAGAGAGAACACGAAACGAAAAACCATGGGGTACCTCAGAAGGTGCGATTCACCACACCCCCGACACCTAGAATCTTACCACCTGGTGAATTACAGAATTGGCACCGACACCGTCAGACTTCCTGCATTCGTCTTATTACGGATGCGATAAAAATTTTAAATTAAAAGTTTTCTTATTTTTTTACCATGGGCGCATCTGTCAAATTACTCCAGGAGCAACAGCGAGTTCTAGCAAGCATCTCTGCCGACTCGCGTTAAATTACTCGAATTAATTCAATTTTACGCAGACTTTCGCCGGTTATTAAATAATACGAAACATAAAAATCTCAAACGAGATTAATTTTATTCGAAAATTCTCTCGATGGAGGAAACGCGGCTCCGCTTCCACCTCTTCGTCTTGGGGTAATCAATGGCAGAAGTAATTAAATTTCCATTTATGAACGCGTATTTAAAAGAAAGAATTCTTCCGAGGACCATTCCCGAACGCAAGCGCTAAGCGAAGCGATACACTCATTATAAACGTTTATTTACGAGAGCCGATGGTGTATAACTGGAGCGCTATTGAAATTAATGAACCGTACGAATTCGTGTTTATGTTGGATGGATAAGTAGAAATGGAAAAAAGCTGTCATAGATTGTTCGGAGCAGATTTTCGAACGCATTACACAGGCGATACTTATTAATGAAGCGGATCACCATTTATCATCGGAGTGTATTTTTTACCCCTTCTTCTTCTTCTTCTTCTTAAATGTTGGAAAAAATAAACCGTTTTCGAGTTTCAAAGGAATAATTTGGCAGGTGAGACGGTTTTTAAAAATAGGAGGTAAAGGTGTATGAGAGGAAACAAACCTTGAAGCGGAAACCTTTCGTTCGGCGACGAAGGTGACTTGATGCAAGAGTTATCTTCACATAGCGAAAAAGAAAGTTCCTGTAAAGAAAATAAGATTTTTTTTCAGTGAAGTTTTCGATCCATTCTGCGACGAAAATCGATTTTTCTCTGTTTATAGTAACATCATATTTTTTTTTATTGTTATTATTTTAATTAATATATTTTTTCTTTAAAAAAACAAGACCGAAGTCAATAGGACGGCATCCAGAAAGACGACATTCCTCGGCAAGCGGGTCAATCGCATTCGACTGCGCATGCCCCGTCGTCACTTTCTTCGTGCGATACCGCGTCTTGACCCGATTAATCTATCTCGAGCCGGCCCACACGCGTCGTTCTCCCTTTTAAAAATGGTTAGCGGAAGTCAATTATGTAGCACGTAAAGATACGCCAAACCATCGCGTGCCGATAACGTCATCCCCGTCCAAAAAAAAGAAAAAACAAAACAAAACAAAATATATATATATATATATATATATATTTATATATATTGGTTAAAACGATCAGTTTTGCTAAAGTTAGCAGTTTCATAAATTTGAACCCTATACCAAATTTTTTATTATTATTAAAAATTGTTAGGTGGCGCTTAATAGGCAGATAAATCCACTCGAGACGACACACAACAGCAAAAATTAAATATGTTTGATAATGGCGACCCCTTAAAAATTAATAGAAAAATAAAAATGTATAATGATGTGTTTGTTACGATAAAATTTTGTTTTGAAAATAATAACCCGATCTACCATTCCAAACGATTATTATTGGGTTTGGCATCGGTAAAGGTGTAATTTAGATCGAACAATTTGTGCGGTTGCAGCACATATAAAAATCAAAAACTTAAGTTGTTTTTAACAATATCCATTCCGACTATCAATCATGGAGTCGATATCATCTTCGAAACACGTTTTCCATTTGGTATATCATCTTTATTGTATCGATTTCATCAAAATACTACACAAACAACAGACTTACAATGGCACAAACAGCCTCGCCTGCCGATAATTCAAACTCATATTCCAAAAAATAAATAAAAATAATAATTTTATCCGCCCTAACTAAAATTAATTTTGAAATTCAAAGATACGTTCATACTTTTCACAAAAATAACACGGTGGAAGGCTTTTGTGTCTATTGATTTCCAGCACGACAATTTTTCTCAGAAGTAAACAATAGAGAAGTTGAACAACAGGAAATACGATAATAAGGTTTGGCGAGTCGAATAGCTTAAGGCGTTTTGCCCACTTTGTTTCACGGATAATCGAAAAACCGATTACAACACGAAACTGAAGCATCCAGTTGGAACTGTTTGTCTATTAAACAATAACACAGTTCGGAATTACTGCAGTTAAGATAATTAAAACCTTGCGAATGCTGCGGCCGGCAATGCAAATTTACAAAATAGCCATTTTGCCCCGCGCTGTGTGGTTATAAACAATTGTTAGAGAGGAGTAAAAGTAGAGGGTACCAAAAGCGTTTTGGTTTAATAAGAGTATTCGTGTCACGAATTCGGTTCATCGGCGCGATTTCCATCTCAAAGAATTTCATGGTTAATTAAATGCTAGCTTTTCCCGGAAGGTAGATCGAGTGTAGAATTAGAAACACATATACTCTTTAGAAAAAAAAGAAAAACCTCAATTATTATTTCATAACGCCGTTTTTTCTCCTTCCATCTCCTCCTCCCATTCAAAGGATAACGCCCTTAAAGCATTTAATTATCAAAATGGTTTACGGAGCGATGGGGAAAACTCGAAAACAATAGTAATTAACAAAGATTATCCTCGAGCCATTACTCTAATGGTTTCCATTTTGGAAAGCTATCACCGCTTGGGTTCGAAAACGTGGTAATGTAATTTCACAGTTTAGAGATTTATGTAGTTTGGTAAAGTGTTAAAGATGGGATAATTAACATTTTGAATTAATTTTCAAACTCTTCTTGATAGTAACTAGAAGCATTGAGTTAAATAATGATATTTTAAAAAATTGTATACTACCGATATTACCATCCCTCATTAACTATTTCGCAAAACACTAACAAATTTAAACAATCGTTTCATAAAATTGTTAATGCGGGGGCAGTGCGATCGGCAGTTTACCATTTTTTTTAATAAAAAAGTTTTAAAAGATTAAACGATTCAAATTCGATTTATAATTATAAAAATATTTTATTCGTTGTATAATTATTTAGAAAAAAAATCACGTGACGTCAGATGGCTAAGATATACACGCAGGGAGAAAAACAATTAGATACGGCGTCAAATCCACGCGTTTTCCCCACTACCCCATGGCGGAAAGCCGAGTAAATTACAGGGCAGGATACATTAGACGGCCGAGGTGGATATTAAAGCCAATCACCAGAAGACGGCAAGAATCCAGCAACGTATGATTATAGTGTGGGGATGCCGCTCCTAACGACACCTCCAGTTCGCGCACGAGTGCAGGATTTCTGGGATATTTCATGGCTCCCCCGACTATTCTCCTCTCTCAGCATCTTCCCTTGGGTCTGTTTGCTCCCGTTCGCATCTTTAAACGACGTTCCCATCACGTAATAGCCCCAAATCCTCTTCCGAGCATTCGCGGAGGAAAGTGATAATCGATAATTTTCAGCACTTTATCCCCCGAAAACTTTACACCTCCGTCGAAAACGTCTGATACGTTCGCATTAAAATATACAGCAATAATAATTTTTAAATGACACCTAACTGAAATTACCTTTAAAAAAGTAAATACCCTCCCTAAATCCCTATANATTATTATTTATTTTTTTAATGGTATCGTCTACCACAAGCGGCGAGCCACAAAAGCAAATTATTGAGCGCCGTACCGGATTCTCGGTTCGACCAGATGGTGGCTAGTGATACACGGCCTCCTTTCATCTTCGCCGACGTCGAGGGACAACAACAGGCTCGTGCAGGTGGCCGTGACGTCACGTGGCACGACCTTCGTTAAAATAAAAATCACCGATCGCGCGCTCTCTTTCTCTCTACGCTTCGATATAAATTATTATTATACATTTCTGTGCCGCCGTTCTTCATTTTTTTATATCCGTAATTACTTTGCTCGAATTTTAACTTAATGGAAAGCGAGATAATTATAATTAGTTAAAAACTATCGATCAAAATTAAAACGTATTTACCGAACAGGCGAAGGAATCTCGAATGGATTTATTATAGATGCTATCTTCATCGACTTGGCAAAGGGGATTGAAGTGAGCATTTACTACGAAGCATTCTCCTATAAAGATACAAAAGAAAAAAAAAAATTATATTATGAATCACATTTTAGTTATCGCTTATACTAATACAGGCAAATGGCGTCCTGTAATGAAATTTCTAAGCCCGCCTGATAGCAAAATCGGGGCGAGTATGAACGTTGTTCTGAATAAATTTACAAAAATTTCGGAAGAAAATGGTTGCTTTAGTACTTCTAATGACATAAAACAGCTGTTCTAAACAATCAGAATCGCAATTAAACTTTCTATAGGATATAACTGGCGTAAGTAAACCAGATTCCAAAATAAGCATCGCCATTCTGCATCAAATATACATTTTTTTAATGGAACAGAACGGAACTAACTCTACTTATCAGAAGAAAATATTTAATTTTAACTTAATTATATAATTACTACTAAATTCAAAGTTTCAAAGTTGTAAATAAAAGTTTTATAAGCCATTTTACTACGAAATAAAGCGCGGTTTTTACAGTAAAAATCGTTAAAACTGGAGAAATTCCTGTAGAAGTTACTTTAAATTAAATTTTACATACAAAAGCTGTACTTAAATTAAAAGTAACACCTACCAGAATTTCTCCGGGTTCGGCGCTTTAGAATGTATTTCAGAAACAATTAAATTACAGAAAATCCACGCGCTTCTGTGCTTTTAGAACACCCTTTTAAAGCAATTTTCAATGGAATAAAATCGTTTTAAAGAGCTGAATAATTGTAATTATTAATTAAAAATGTGAAGTCGCGCGGTTATAGCACCGTAAACAGTAAATATATTGTCTAACTTTTAAACAATTTGTGAAATAAATAAACATTTTAAAGCGATTTTAAATTGGTTTCATAAATAAATATCCCGAGCAGAAGTTAACTTTGTCCAAAATAAACCTTTCTAAATTAAACATGAAGTAAAAAAAGAAGCGGAAGCGGAAATACTACTTTAAAGAGAATAAATAATATAAAGAAAAGGAAAAGAATTTTACAATTATCCAACCCGAAAAATCACGTTTAACGAGTAACTTAACTGAATGAAAAGAGATAATTATGATTTGTGTACAAAGTGTGGGACATTTTAAGGGCCGAAATTAATAATAAAGGAACGTACCATGCTTGCTCTGCACTTTTCCCATATCAACAATCTCCGTCCGAAGCGGTTCATCACATTAGGGAAACCACGACAACATACGAGATCATAACAACAAACACATCATCCATCCGCCATTCAACCCGTCGACGGTGTGACCATTAGGAGGCGTGGACGTGCCACCGTAAAGACGGCCAATCGCTAAACGACCTCCTGCGCCATTTTGTAAAAGTAAAATAAATCATACTCACTCTTCTCCGGTTTTTATTAATAACGAAAATAAACTTTCGCGTAATAAAAAACGTTTATGAAATAAATCGAAGACTAATTCGGACGTGATGACGTCACATTTGATTCAAAAAATTTACGCATTAGTTACAAGCGATATCGGGCGTTGATACTATTCGGCGAGGGATGTTTTTAATTACTATAGTTGTCTACAAGTCGTTTTTGTTGTTTTATTATTTAATTTGATAATTGCAGGATTAATCAGTCGATCGGCGATTCAAAAGACAGTTTCGGATTACGTACGCCAGTCGGTGCTGGTGTCGCCATTGCGGTTTCTTTGATGCCATCCTGTTGCACGGCGGTCGTATGTCATACGAGGAGAAGGCTTCTCGCAAACGTCGGCAGGACGGGAGATTTATTTATTTTATGCGCTCCTATCTCTCTTCTGAGGAATGATAAACAAGTGTCTATATAAATACAAATATCTTAAAGACGATAACGCGGATAACAAATTTAGCGCTTTGTAAATAATAATAGCGGCCTTTTAAAGATACGTCGGCTCAGTTTGGAATGTTGGAAATAAAAAAATTGAAATTTTACTATAAACAGAATATAAAATTATATCTGACCATTGAATTTGTTATTTTTTTATTATTATTTAAAGTATAAAGGTTATTAGTGTATTTATAAAATATATTGATACATGTACCGGTACAGTCGCATTAAATAATAGTTAAATTTATTAATAAAAGTTAAAAGATTTTAAGAAACAGTGTTTAATTTTTCATTTTTAATATTATCAAATATTAAAAGTTAAAAAATATATATATAAATTGTTCATAAAAAATACATAAAACAGATTTTAAATATAAAAATATTATTGGTAATTATTAAATTTGTAAATTGATTCTCAATATATTATTGTCTTAAAAAGGTATAGAATAATTAATAAAATACATTTAAAATTTTCTGATAAATATTGTACTGTATTTAAATTTTAAATATTAATTAAGTAAGCTAGCTACATGAGCGCCATCTAAATTTTAAAATATGTAATTATTCTATAATGTTTATTTAAAATATATAAGATTGTGACGTTACACTTTTATAATGTTTAAAATATTTAAAAATTATATGAAAATGTAGTAAATATTAATATATGTTTAATGCTTTTACATTGGTATATTATAGAACTTAAGAGTTCTATAATATCACTTGGTTTCCATTCCTACACTTGGTTCTATATTATCACTTGGTTTCCATTCCTACAGTTAGCAATTCAACACACGTTTCAAGTGTTTATTTATACTTTTCAATAATAAAAATCAAGTTTACATAACAATAAATATGCATTTACTCATTAAATATGTCCACAATATTAGTAAAATACTAAAACATATACAGTACAGTATTCACATAATGTAAGTATGGCGCCGCTCCCTAAGCGAAACTAATTAAATATATTTATATAAATTATATTATTTATGAATATTTTCATGAACTCTTCGTGAACCTTTCGTAGTCATTGTTGTATAAATAAACTTGTATATTTATCTTCGTTGATCCCAGTAATTCATGAAGTTGAAACATAAGTACATAATTCAAGGTTGATCGGAATCACCGGATATTCTAGATCCAAATTTAACAGAGGTCCAACAAATTTGAATAAATTCTGTAACGGCTTACCAAACCAATTAAAAGCTTTAAAAACTAATTAATTCAGACTAGTTCGTGTGTCGATTTAGTTTCGAAATTTAAACAGGAATAGCGAATGACGTTATTGAATCATTAAAAGCTTAGGATGGTGCAGGTGCATTACAGATTTATATCATTACTAATTATTCCAAAGTTTATTTCATTGTATATGTACAGTGCATTTCCATAATTTAATGTATATAATTCCCTTTTCTTTCTGATTCAGAGAGTTCTCAGGAATCTCGAAGACATCCCATATTAATAACGTATATACAGGCTTAACTATAATTTTTTTTATTACGTTTTCTTGCCCTTAACAAAAACTCCCAAAAATATTTTAAAATGAACACAAACTGTAAGGAACAAACAAATCATGAAAGTGACAGTTAATACGAACATAAATATTAACGAAACTTACGAATAAATAATGTTCAAAATCAGGTTAAAATAGTATTTATAAGCAGCCTTCAAAAAGACAAAAGAAATATTTGAGTTAAAAACGAGAAAATTTCATATACTAAAATAATTTCGAATGTTTACAGCTGATTCTCCCTATGCTCCAGTCAAACTTTGGACAACGCACGATCGAAGTGGCAGAAATATTTATTAAACCAGAATAGTAGTATTACAGCTATTNACGACACCTCCAGTTCGCGCACGAGTGCAGGATTTCTGGGATATTTCATGGCTCCCCCGACTATTCTCCTCTCTCAGCATCTTCCCTTGGGTCTGTTTGCTCCCGTTCGCATCTTTAAACGACGTTCCCATCACGTAATAGCCCCAAATCCTCTTCCGAGCATTCGCGGAGGAAAGTGATAATCGATAATTTTCAGCACTTTATCCCCCGAAAACTTTACACCTCCGTCGAAAACGTCTGATACGTTCGCATTAAAATATACAGCAATAATAATTTTTAAATGACACCTAACTGAAATTACCTTTAAAAAAGTAAATACCCTCCCTAAATCCCTATACATGTTTATACAAAATTTCCCTAAATTTTTCATTAAAGAATACGAAATATTAAGGGGAGAAAACTATTATTCATATTAAAATCTTAATACTTTATAAGGATAATAAAAAAAATTATATATTTTATAATAAATCTATTAAAATTTAAATAGTTTGCATCCTTTAGAAGCTAAACGAATAGAAATATGCAATTAAGGTAATGAAGATTTAGGGAATTTAGATATATTTTTGATTATTACGTAAAAAGGGAATCGATTTATGAACTGACGTAATTGTTTCGGAAATTATTTAATCAATGGCACGTATAAGAGGCACATTTCCGTCTTCCGAAATCCCCGATGTGTATCCAATAATGGACGACGTTCTACTATTTTTTCCCTTAAAAACTGTCCAGATATCAAGCACGATGATAAATTTTTCGTCATAAAAATGATTTAGGTCGTAAATAACAGAGGGAAAGAGAGAAAGAGAAGAAGGGGGAGAGAATGTTGTCTCCCAGATTTTTCTATTACATTTATTTCGATAAAAATAATGTAACTGCAACGATTTATAACGTTAATATACCTATATATATATTTTTTTACCCCTCCTTCTTGCCATCGAAAAGTGGAGAATATAACGGAAACTCCTTTTCGGCAATCAGTGTTCGATATAAATTCGATCATAGGAAAAGGACATATGCCTGACAGAGCATGAGTCACGCGCAGATTCGTCATCCTCCTGCGTCTGAGGGAAAATGAATCACGAGTCGAAACGGCCGATCACCATAGCTATCAAGGAAACCAGAAGAAAACATCCAAAACGATCCTGCACTCGATCATTCTTCGCTTCGTGTACAAAAATAAGGTATAAAAACAAGGCATTTCGTTCCCCGTGTAGAGAAATTCGCCCCTTTAAAAATACATCTTAAAAATATTATTTTATTTTTTTAAAAATCTGGACGGGCACTAGCCTGTTAAAACACATTAAAACAATTGTGTTGCCAGATGCAATAAAAGAAAAAATAATAATAATAGTAATTAAAAATAATGCGTCACTCACCAGCGGGCATTCCGATAGAGTTCTTCCCGCTTTACCTAATGCGTTGGAAAGGCGCAGCAGAGTAAATTTCGGCAACTTATTAAGTAGACTCATGACCGCTGCTTCTCATGATGACTGAGATAGACCAGATTCACTTTGCCGCCGAAGACATGAATGAAAGCGAATCAACCTCTGCCAACCGTAGCCATGGCAACGGGCGCGTTTCCATTCCATCCCGAGGGTTGGGGAACGTGACTAGATGGAGTAACGACTGGCGGCGCCTGCGCCGGAAGGCCATCGACCAATAAAAAACGCCGATAAAAAGGGAAAGTAGGTAGGGACGCGAGCGGTATCGCTTATCGAAAGCGAATTTAAATGATCCGACGGTTGTAATTTATACCGTGGCGCATCGAACTCACAAGCCCTGCGTTACGCGCCAATCTCGGCGGATGGGCGTCGCACGTAGACGAGACGAGAAACTCCTCCTTTTCCCTCCGAGAAGAATAAAAATGATAAATAAATAAATCTGCACACGGACTCGTGTTTACAATACGCGTGCAGAGAAAAGCCGGGGTGGAGTGACCGGCCGTATATAGAGTCCCATGTATGCGGAAAGTTGGCAACTTTCCAAGGAGACCGGCCCCGCAAGAGGGGAATCAGGGGGACAGCCTAACTACTAACCGGCAGCTTTTGATGTTCGGCCTTCTCCCATTCTGCCTGGTAAAGGGAGGGACGGTAAGGAAGTCAGTCACCAGCAATACATTCCCTTCAACTCGTGCTACTTATCAGTGTCGGCACGTGACTAAGATGTCACCCCAGAGTTTTGCATGGCTTCTTCGGCACTTTTCCTACGATACCGGATTTTATATTTATATAAATATTCATGGCTATATATTATTCGGCGTGGGATAAGGAGAGAGAGAAAGACCTTAGTTAAATATCGGCCCTCCTCACTTCTTTTTTTTTTTATTCTTTCTTCCCTTTCTACTCTAATTAACGAGGCAGGCGTGTCTGTAATTGCCGAGAGAGAGTAAAAAGCCAAGTTCAAAGACAAAACCGACAACCACCTGGCCTTCTATTAACAAATTTAAATGAATTTACTCTTAAAATATGTATACGTTACGCACCCTGGAGGATTATTAACTCTTAAGTAACTATCAGGACGGATCGATGGCGATCGTTGCTGTACTGGCCAACAATACCCGGTATTGTTCCCACCAGTGTTGATGCCAATCGCGATTTGTGATTGTCGGTCGGTCGGTCGGTCGGTCTGTATGTGCCGCTTCTATCTCATAATAGAAAGACCAACGGCGTTCGTTATACCTTTTGATCTGTGCCGCCACAGTATACTGTTGTTTACGGATTTCCACGTCCCACGCTTAGTAATGACGTCACTGACTCCAGTTTATATATAGACTTCCTCAAAGTGTAATCGCATTTTGAAACGGCGCCTCTTTAAATCTGCGAACGTTTTTCTTTAATTCTTTTTTTAAAGCCAGACTTAAGGGAAAATCGGGAAATTTACCCTCAGCAAGCAGTCGCCGTTAAACTTCCCTCATTGTTTTATCAATTTTTTAATTTAAGCGGAAAGACTTGACAATTTAATTTTAAAAAAATTTATCAATTATAAAATTAGGCAAGATATTTCAAATTTTACAATATAATCAAAGGAAATATCCCGTTTCCAAGTTAAACAACAGAAATAAATTTCCCTTTTTTCCCTTTTCCGAATAAATAAAACGGTAGTAGTGCGCAGCGACACCAACCAGCAATTTTTTTTTAAATATTAAATTCATCATAGCATTTAAAAACCCGAATTATCGTCGACGTAACAATAATGCAAAAGGAATTTCAAAATGGTTCCTTAGTAGAAATAAGATTATAGCCGAAGAAACTGTCCTTCGTCTCAACATGTTTTTATTTCATTTCATTTTATTTTCATTTTTTTCTCGAGCGACCAGAGAGGATAAAGTGCGTTCGTGGCAAACGGCACGTGCTTTTTCATCGCCCGCTTTTGATGGGGTGGAGGATATCATCCACAAACACACACGGGAGTGGTTGTTATCTTCCGAGAATCATTGTGACGTCAATCGGAATGGACGAAAATAAAGCTTTTAAACTTCGTCACGTACTTTATATAAATTCGGAAGCGGTTTTAAACCCCGATTTTTCCCTTAAAAACCCATCAAAGAAACGATCATAATCCCTACTAATTCGATTTCTAACGATCTGGAAAATAGATATGAATGAAGGCAATACAGGGTTTTGACACGTGAACGATTTACGCGCCCTTTTTTCTTTTCCAAATTTAAATTTTCTCGAAGTATTAAATTTATCTTACTCTTCTTTTGAATTAAGAGGATGTTTTACTCAAAGAAGGCGCACAAATTTAAAAATATATATATATATA